GCCAAGAAAACTCTATGATTAGAGACTTGGAGGCTTTCAACAACAACAGCAACAACAACAACAACAACAACATGCCAGCTTGAGGATTTTAGGAAATGTAGTCAAGAGAGCTGTCAAGATAAAGGACACATCGCGGGAAGGCATGACACTAGAAAAGACAACAATGCTTAGTAAGGGCCTCAGCACACGGAGGCCCTGGAGCCGCCGCCGGACGGAGCGCCGGCGGTGCGGAGCCTCCGCACCGCGGCGCACCGTCGGCGCATCTAAAAGGAGCACCAAATTGGCGCTCCTTTTAGATGTAAGGGAAAGTGCGCCCCAAAAGCGGCGGGCGCACTTTCCCCGGCTCAAACGGCGCAGCGCATGTGGGCGCTGCGCCGTGAGGTCATCCCCAGTGCGCCGGCCATGCGGACGGCCGGCGCTTCTGGGGGCGACCTCAGGGAGAGGAAGGGGCGCCGCTCGTGCGGCTGCCCCTCCTCTTCCCTGCCCGGAAGACGGCTCTATTAGCCGTCTGCCGAGGCAGTAAGATAGAAAGCAGTAGGAAAAGAGAAAGGCTGCATTACAGGAGGATAGACTCTATCATGGAGAGCATGATCCTGAGTATGCAAGACTTATCAACTGTGGGGTTGTTGATAACAGGGTGATTTGGGCTGCACTTGAACTGTAGAAATAATGCAGTTGGACATGGCTCCATCCTATGGAATCTTTGGATATGTAGTTTATTGTGGCACCAGAGCTCTCTGACAGCAAAAGCTAAATATCTGACAAAACTGCAGCTCTCCAAATTCCATAGCATTGAAACATGGCAGTTAAAGTCGTGTCAGACTGCACTGTTTCTGCAGTGTGGATACAGCCTTAGAGATTTCTCATTCATAGGGTCACCATAAGTTGAAGTTGACTTGATGGCAATTAAGAACATAACAAGATAACTTTTCCAAGCTTTGCCTTTCACACATTCCTTCCATATTTATTCTAAACATAAAAATAAGATGGGAAAAATCAACTTTAAAGAACCTTCGACATTCCCATGCTTTGCATGAGCTCTTATTTCAGCTTTTTTCTTTTTTCTTTTTTTACTGGTGTCCTGGTTTGACTGTGATCCTGTTGGGAATCATAAGGCCCTCCAGATATCATCAAATTACAACTTCCAGCATTCGTCACCATTAGCCATGCTAACTAGTCTGATGGGAGCTGCAGTCCAACAATGGTTGGGAGGCCACACAATTCCCACGCCTTGTGTAAATGGAAACAGGCATCTGCTTTCACCACTAGAGCCTGACATGTTGGCAGAAATCTTGGGAATGTAGCTTAGCCAACACTGACCAGAGAAAAGAGGCCACTTTAACTACTTGAAGAAGACTTGGCTTGGCAGGGATATTTGTTTTACTGATTGGAATTCTGATGCACTCTAGAACATACTGGAAAGGGAGAAAAGCTTTTATATATATATGAGTCATAGAACAGTTTACAAAGATATTACGATATTCATGGAGCTGCCTTAATTTAACAATGTCATGTTAGGGCCTCTACAGACGGCCCTTTGCGCCGTCTTGGAGGCAGGGAAGGGGAAGGACAGCCACACGCCAGGCACCCCAACCCCACTCCGAAGACGTCATCGGCCCCAATCCTCCGCTTCCCAGGGCGACCCAGGGCCACCCGTCTGTATCCCCCCTTAGTCTGGAAAATCAGTATGCAAACGCTTCTTGTAGCATCTTTGAGACTAACTGAAAGAAGAAGCTGGTAGCATGAGCTTTGTAGATGTGAATCTATTAGTAAATTCAACTCTGGCTCAGTGCTAGAGAATCATGGGAACTGTAGTTTATTGTGGCACCAGACCTCACTGACAGAGAAGGCTCAATGTCTCAGAAAAAAAAATACAGTTCTCATGATTCCCTAGCACTGAGTCAGGACAGTTAAAGTGGACTCAAGCTGCATTATTTCTGGTAGACTGTAAAGGCCCTAAGGTGCTACAAAAGCCCTTTGCATACTTAAGTTAACAAATTACTTGACCTTAAAGATTAAGAAATTCATTATAGCACAGGATTCTGTCGTAGGCCCTGTGTTGTTTAACATCTTTATAAAGTACTCAGATGATAGAATAGAGGGCATGCTTATCAAATTTGCTGATGGGGAAATAGGTAAAACTCCAGAGGACAGGAAGGGGATTCAAAATGACCTTAACAGATTGGAGAACTAGACCAAAACTAATAAAATGAATTTCAACAGAGAGAAATGTAAAGTACTTCATGTAGGCAGGAAAAAAATAAAATGCACAGGTGTAGGATAGGTGGCACCTGACTTGAAAGCAGTACATGTGAAAAGGATCCAGGGAGCTGAGTAGATGGCAAGCTAAGCATGAGTCAACAGTGCAATGCACTGGCCAAATAAAGCCAATGCAATTCCAGGCTGCATGAACAGGAGTATAGTGTCCAAATCAAGGGAAATCTACTCTGCTTTGGTCAGACCTCACCTGGAATACAGTGTGCAGTTCTGGACACCACAGTTCGACAATGACACACTGGGACATGTCCAGAGAAGGGCAACCAAGATTGTCAAGGATCTGTAAGCCAAGACTTATGAGACACAAATTAGGGAGACAGGTATGTTTAGCCTTAAAAAGACTGAAAGTTGACATGATAGCTATTTTTAAATACCTGATGTGATGTCATGTAGAAGATGGAACCAGCTTGTTTTCTGCTGCTTCAGAGACTGGAACATGAATCAACAGATTCAAATGACAAGAAAAGAGAGTTCACCTAAACATTGGGAAGAACTTCATTACTCTGAACTGTTCAATAGTAGAATAGATTGCCTCAGGGGATGATGGGCTCTCTGTCTTTGGTGGTCTTTAAATGGAGATTAGATGGGCATCTTTCAGAAGTGCTATAATTTTGTATTCCTGCATGGCAGGTGAATGGATTGGATGCCCCTTGTGGTCCCTTCCAACTCTAAGATTCTATAATTCATTACATGTTATCAATTGTGGACCACTTCATCAGATACATGAAGTATTCTCCTCTGTTCATGAGGCCAATGGATTTCTACTTCAGATTGTTAAATTTCATGAACTCAGGAGAACATTTCATACTTCTCATGAAGTAAAGTCAGTGGAGGACAGAGGGTCTTGGAGATGTCTTATCCATAGGGTCACCATGACTCGAGATCAACTTGAGGGCAGTTAACAATAACAACAACAAAGGTCACTTGTTATCTCTATTGCATGAAACCTGATGCTACAATACATTTGTTAACAGTGCTACAGAACTCTTTGTTGCTTTCCCTGTACCTGATTTTTGGGCAAACTCACAAAATTATAATAAAAGTTAAGATAGCATTACACCAGGAGGAGACAGACCAGATTGTCTCTGGTATATAGTGAAAATCTATGTTTCTTTCAAATAGAAAATCATGTCAATAGGGGATTTCTTCTCAACACAAATATTAGCTTAAGCAAAGGGATTTTCTTTAAGATAAAAGCAAGGTAGAAAAAGGTTATATTCCCTCTCCATGCCAGTGGTGATCCCATTCATTATTGGTTCCCAAGCTAAAATCCCACTTTTAAAAACCCAAAAATTAGCTCAAATGAATGTTAGCCCTTGTTCACTCCCTCCTGGCCCCACTGGCTAGAGTGGCCAACTGAAAGGCAATATCGCTCGTCAGGTTATTGATCAGGTAGTCCTAAGTGGGTTCAGACCTTCACATCAAGACCTTCTCTCCCACCAACCCCTCCTTCTTCTCCTTCCCATCATCATCATCATCATCATCATCATCATCATCATCATCATCACCTACTAGCTGTCTGGAAAGCAACAAAAAGAACACCCTCACCTAATATTTTTCTTCAAATCATTAAGGAATATAATTTTGTTTTGCTTACTTATAATGTGGCATAGTGATTTGAGTGTTAGACTGTGGCTCAGGAGATCAGGGTTCAATTCCCAGCTTGGCAACATAACCCACTGGGTACTTGGACATGTCACACACTCTCAGCCTCAGAAGGGCAATGGCAAACCTCCTCTGAACAAAGAAAACCCTATGATAGATTCACATTAGGGTTATCAGAAATAACTTGAAGGCACACAACAACAACATATTCAGAACACATCTCTTTCTCTAGTTGAGGTGCTTTACTCTGTGATTTATCTCTGAACAACACATCCTGGCTGTCTCAAACTATTTTGCTGGCTGAGGTGAGAACAAGATGGCACCCAGGCACTTCTAAGGAGTTTGGTGTGTGATTCTTCATCATGGGACAATCCTCCACACCTGAAAGGACCAGGCTAACTTAGGGGACACAGAGCAGGCTATGTGGCACATGTACAGTTTAGTCCTTAAGCCCCTTGCCACTACTTGGTGGCTGCCAGTGTGTGCTGCTGGGTGAGGCTGTCAGCTCACTCTTCCTATGGTAGGGATGGCTCTATAACAATTTGAGATTCATTCAGTCAAAACCAATTAGACATTTAAGACATTTGCTTGCCCTGATTATGCTGGTCATGTGAAAGCAGAATAGAACATCCAAATACCTAATGGCCCAGTGTGACACTTCCTCTTCCTCTGAGAGCAGTCAACTGTTCATGATGGGAGCACCAGGCGGCTGGGCCACCGGAGCCTCACAGGAAGTGAACAAGTATGCGAGAGACCCAAAAAAGGCATCTGGTGTAGGTTCTTACTTCCACATACATACACATAAATATGAGAGAGGGGCGGGAGCAGAGAGAGAAAAAGTTTTCTAAGGAAGATACCTCTGAGCCTGTGTGGGGTGCCTCTTCCCTCCAATGGTAACCTGTTGTACCACCAAGAGAGCATTATGAACAATGGATTCCTTATCCATTCTGTCTAAGTAAGTGAAAAGGATGGAGTAATCTCATCATTTCATCTTCATCTGGAACAGCCCTTTGGCTAATATTTCTTTCTCAGTTTCCAAACAGAAAAATAAGCAGCCTTCTTTATCTGTGGACTCCTTAACCATGGATTCAACTACCCTTAGTCTGCAAATATTATATATATTTCACAGTTTACAAGCCCTCCATATCCACAGATTCAACCATCCATGGATTGAAAATATTATATGTATTTCACAGTTTGAAAATATACATGTATATGTACATGTATATGTATATGTGTATATATTTCCACCCAAAGCAATTGATTTTGTCATTTTATATAAGGGGAAGCATTTCGAGGCCATTGAGGTTTTGATGGGATTTGAGTATCCACAGATTTTGGTATCCATGGGGGGTCCTGGAATCAAACTCCAGCAGATACCAAGGGTTAACTGTATAGCTATATCTCAGTTAACATAGCTGCCGATAAAGAAGCTCCTTTTTACAAAAAAAAAATATTACAGGAGCCAAATCCAGATCTCCCCTCTTCTTGTTTTCTGTTTAACTGGAAAGTTGTTTTTTGTTTTCTTTTTGCAGTACTGGCATTGAGAGGATGGTGAAAGAGGACTGAAGATAGACTTTTTCACTGCTGGGTTGCAGCAGTATGTCTGCAGTTAACAATCCAATAAAGCTTGACCTGGGAATGAATGGGATTCTACTTGGTGTAGTGGTTTGAGCACTGGACTATGACTGTGGAGACCAGGGTCCGAATCCCAGCTCAGCCATGTAAACTACTGGGTGAACTTGGGTAAGTCACACTCTCTCAGCCACAGAGGATGGCAATGGTAAACACTCTCTGAAGAAACTTGCCAAGAAAACCCCATGATAGATTTGCCTTAGGGTCACCATAAGTCGGAAACAACTTGAAGATAAACAACAACAACAACATACCTATGTGTGCTTATGTACAAGATAAACAGCTGCCTCAAGAATCACTTACTGATCATGTGTAAAGAGTAAAACGTGTAAAAAAGTTGAAAGGAATGTAATTTGCCTCACTAGGTACACTAGCATGTTGAAAAAGCATAGAGTTGTAATTTTGCCACTAAAATAGAAAACGAGTGGAGGCTGTTGAAAGAAAAAAATAATCCTGGCATGTATTTTAGAAGAAGCTTTCAAGAGGTGTTTAGAAGATCCGAATTATTTTTGTTTATTTATGCAAGGCATTCCTGACCTGGTTGTTTCATTTCACATGTGCATAATGTTAGTTTTGAATCAAAAGTTTGGTGAAAAATGTTGAAGTGCTCTTGTTTCTTGTGGTGCGGAAACCTAATTTCTGTCCTTGTCATGTTATTTCTACTTCTGGTACCAAGGTTTCTGTTAAAGAAGTAAAGCCCATGAACATATGTACTTCATTAACTGAGGTTTACCTGTATGTTCTCTGTATGTGTGTTTGAAGAATGTGAGCGACTGTTGTTTGTACTTAATACATAAAGAAGTAAAGCCATAGCATTTAATTACATCATCAGAACCATCTCTAGGTCTCAGATTTTGGCCTAGAAACCTCAGAGCCTGGGAAAACTGTCAGCTCTGTTTAGCTAATACACTACAACTTCAAGTCACATGTCAACTTATGGTGACTCCATGAATTTCATAGGGTTTTCTTAGGGCCTCGGCAGACGGCTAATAGAGCCGTTTCCGAGGCAAGGAAGAGGAGGGGCAGCCACACGCTCGGTGCCCCTTCC